TGTACATTCTCTTTAATTCTATAATCAGACATAATTTCTTGTTCAGTTACAAAGTTCCGCTGTTCAAGTCCTATAATTGCTGTGTCGAGAATACCGACTAATTTGTCAATCGAAATTTTTTCGTTTTCAATAATGTTCTCAGTTACTTTCTTTACTATCGGAAGTGAATTATAATGACGAGGAATTTGATTTAAATCATATCAAAGACGGAGTACATCGAGATGAAATAATACATTTAGTAAGGAATTATAAGCCAAATAAAATAAAAACATCTACCCTGAAGATAAGGACAATGCTGACAGATCAACTTCCAATTCATTGCGCACCGCGGCAATAAAGATAAAACAAAGTTTAGATAAACAAACATTAAAGTTTAGATAAACAAAGGATATGCCTTTATCAATTTTTTGCAGCAATTCCACTTTTTGTTTGATGGACATCGGAACATGCTTTCGCTTTGTAGATCCTTTGATAGCTCCTGAATCGAAAATTCTTTTTGACATAATCGAAAGTTCAAGCTTACTTTTATAAAATTACTCAGTACAACTCTGATAAAGGCCCTAATTTCACCAAATGTGGCGATATGTTTTGTGCTGGTTTTTGGCACGATTGCGTGTTGTATGGCAACCATGTCGACGTTGAAAAATCTTTTGGTGGAGTAGTTTAATTGCTAGTTGGCAAGGTTGGTTCGTGTCGCGTGTTTTTGAAATGGCCTATGTTGCGATGAAAGACGTGGTGGGAAGGTTTCAGCCGCGTATTTTAGATTGTGTGCAGAGTAAATTTAGTATGAAAAGGTACGATGTTGGAGTTGTTAACGAGTCTTTTGTTCACGGATGTATTTATGGGGATCGTAGTGTATTTTTGGAATTTCTGTGGGAGTCGGGACTTTTAAAACGGAGTGTGACATGTCCGAAATGCGGAGCTGATATGAGAACTCGGACGAAAAATGGTGTTTCTGATAGACTTGTGGGATTTGCAGTAAAATTGTTGCTAATAAAGTATGTGGGTGTCAGCGGAGTTTAAGGTTTGGATCTTGGTTTTCGTGTAGCAAGTTAACGTTGGAGGAAGTTTTTATTGTTACTTTCGAAATTTTGAATCGTAGGAAGGCATGTGATATAGCAAAATCGTGGAAGTTTTCTTCACAGACGTTGTGTGACTGGCGAAATTTTATTAACGAATGTATTTTGGACTTTGTATGCTCTGTATCTGAGAAGATAGGGGGGAAAGATATTTCTGCTTTTAAAAGAAGCTTTCATTATGGTAAGTGCATTTATTTTATTGTTTTTATTTTGTAGAATATTATATTCATTCTTTTTGTATGAATTTCCATTTTTATTGTTTTTTGAATTGTCTGAAATTTATTTTAGTTTATTTTCTTGATTTGTTTTTAGTGTAGATTGTGCAATTCGTAGATGTTTTTTAAAGTTGAAACAGAACGCTGTGTACATGGTATTCTTTGAAATTTATTGTTGTTATGTTAATTTATTAAAGCGAGGTGTGCGTAGTTCGTAGATTCGTTCGTTGCCTACAGTGTGCCATTCGTAGATTTTTTTTTAAGTTAAAACATGTCGCTGTGTACATGGATTCTTGTCAAATATTTTTGGTTAGAAACTTTACGTTTTTGCTATCTAAATTTTTTGTTTTTGTTTCGGATTTTTAGCTTAAATCGTGTGTTCAAAACGTAGTTTTTGCATGTGCGAAAACCGCGTTTTTGGAGACATTTTAGGCTTAAAGTTCGAAATGTAGACAAAAAATTTAGATAGTAATATGGCCGTGTGAAGTTTCTCGCCAAAAATGTTTGGCGACTTGAGGGTGCATATCAGAGTAGTTCCAATTGCTCTAACAGTCTGCAAAAAATAATAAGCCGGATCCAATTAGAAGATTAAGGAACAGCGCAATCTGCAACATTAACTGAATTAGATAATTTTAGCTTAGCTTATACCGTCCGTTATACATTAAACGCACATTCGTAAACGTATTTTGTGCACGCGCCTATTCGCAGCCGTAAATGTCTTGCGCGCATGCGTATACACGACGCATGCGCAGAAAGTTTGTAGCTTTGAGGTCCGGACTATAGATCATTCCGGATTATGGGTGTCTGAATTAACGACTTTTGACTGTACAAGGGTCCGTTCTTCGCGTCACTCCACATGCGCGTGACGTAGGCAGGACGAGTCTTTTTGCTGAGAGGTAAGGTAGGTATGTAGTTTAGTGTTAGTGGTATACGTGATATTCTTTGGTTTTGTTGCGTAGCGTTTTTTCAGCTGTGTTGCCACTATTAAAGTTCGAACCCTCGTATATTAAACTAGCGATTTATATGTAATTTATTTTCTTTCTTTAATGTCTCTGGCCCTCACTCTCCTATACTAATGTTTGATTGGCCCTCGAGTAACTAAACGTTGGACTACACTGGATTAGAATAACTTTTGTGCAGTTAGAATTTGGGATTTTATTTCTGAAATCCCTTTAAATGGGGTCGAGAAAAATGTTGGGAATACCTGGATTTAGCTAAGAAGTAACATTAAATACATGCAGTTTGAACCAGTGATCTTTATACATGATTTTTCTGTTCTCAGTATTGTGAATCTAGCTAAATAGTAAGGAATGTTTTTTAGAAAAAGGAAAGGATGTCATAATCAATGTCAACAAGAATTTTGACAAAAGCTATTGTAACAACAGAATGAAAAATTGCAAATTTACTAGACCAAGAGTTTTCAAAAAGGAAAGGTTTTGAGAAATACAATTAGTTCTTTTCCCTCAATTAAACAGCATTAAAAAAAAAAAAAAATCTTTTTTTACTATACTTATCAAATGATATATCTAACTCTTTTAAATTGGTCACAGTTAGGATATACTCACATGAATAGAGTGGTAAATAACTGGGTTAGAGTAGACTGAAGGTTATCCCTTGTATTATCACGAAGTTGTTTCATTTATGGTACCCTGAGTAGTTGAATGTTATGGAAACCCTATTATGACATAATCGGTTATATGACTGCGATAAACTTGGAATTATGGAATGTTTTGTAAGGGCTTGTGGTGTGTGTTGGTTAAGAAGTACATTGCTTGTTTTGTTGTTGTTTAGACGGTAGAATGGCTAAATATAGCAAGATTAATTTGAAATTTCGGCTAATCTTTGGAGTATGGTAACAGGTAGTTTGGCGACATTTTGGTAAGGAAATAAAGGTTACTAGCTAGGACTTTAGCAGTGTACATGGATAAAGTCAAGAGTGTGCGGAATGCCATTTTTGTGCAATTCTGAGATGTTTTTTTTAAGTGAAAATAGGTCGACGTGTACATGGATGATACCGTGTATGTGCAATTCTTAAAAACGCGGCTAGCAGTGGGTGATTCTGCACTTTCTCCCAATTTCGCACCTAGTCTTCGTCATGATTAAGCACTTTTTGTTCCATAAAAGTTCTAGTATAAGCGTAATTCGGCTAGCAGATTGTTGGAAAAAATGTTGAGTAAAAAAAAAAAAAAAACATGCCTTTACTTCGTGAAAACAAAATGGCGTCCAAAACAAAACTAGCAGGTTGCTGTAGCAGGGTTGGTCGCCAAATTTTCGCCGAAAAATTGCCAAGTTACCATAATCCAAAGATTAACCGAAATTTCTGTACAATTTGGAGTGAAAGGGGAAAAGAGCTAACTGACTGGAGTGTAAATGAAGGTTTACTTAGTAGCCATTATAAGCATCCTGTATGTAGGAAGGAAATGCGTCAGGTTGAACATAAAGATCGTTCAGATGGCTTTGAACGGTTTGTCGTAAAAAAAGTTCAGATGGTCACTATGTCAAACATTGGATAACGGGAGCTCATATTAACAATATTGAAGGTATGTGGAGTGTGGTAAAGAGAGATTTTCGCAAGTGTCATCAACAGTCGAACCTACGGAGGATAATTTTTACGCTTAATTTTGTGGCAACGCCGATATATGGATTCGATTTCAGATAATTTTAGGATGCTGTTAAAGATTTTGTGCGCTACAGACTGAAGAAGAAGAAATTTCTAAATAACAAAAGTGGATATTTGCTTTGTGTACTGCCTAGATGCATAAGAGGTTTTGCCTTTATGTTATTTTACCGTTTGGTTTAGAATGAAATTTATTGAGATTCGATATGTTGGAAATTAAAAATATAATTTAAAATTACACATTATATAATTGCAAAAAGATTACAATAAACAAGACATTTAAATAATATTAAAAAAGGAACTCATGATTAACAAAAAATATTTTGTTTATCAATGGCTTATAGCATTATACAATATTATAAAAACATAGATAAATATCATGGTTGAAAAAATTATATATCAGATAAGGTAAAAGACAAAAATTAAATTTTATCCTTAAACTACTTGTATTCTGTTTTAAGGCTAAATTTTTCCGGTACCTTTCTGTTATCGGGACCAGATTCAGTGCATGTGCATACACATGTATAAGCATATTGCATATATACGTACATAATTACAATGCACTTCTGAATCTGGTCCCCATAACCAAAGAGTACTTTTTTAGACTTATATTACATATTGCTCCCGGTATGAAGGCTGGTTGTTTTTATAATTATAAAGTAAGATAAAATTAAAGTTAATCTAGGATATTGAAAACACAGATTAGAGTTAATTGAGGGTTATTTTTATCCGGAGTTCCGCAAATACCTAATTCTTACAAGTTATTACTTCTTAATCGTACACTCCAGTAACGAGATTTTTTTTTTTCATTTTCAAAAGCAATATTATAACAAATTTAATCAAAGTTACAGCCAAATTAATTCTGAATTTTACGGATTTTAAAATTTCTGCTCAGTGTGTATCGAAAGTACTAATCTATTGTACTCAACACAATAAATATCCAAAGTCTAAGACTGTAACCATTAACACAAGTTTTAAATTATTTTATACAAAATGAAGAATTAAGTTATCAATACGAAGAAAGAAACCTAAATAAAATTAGTTTTAACAAGCATGGATAATCCAAGACATTTAAAAAAAATCACTTACAACTGAGCCAGTGTCATTTACGTTGTTGTCAGCTTCGATAGTTTCTTCAACATCTTCTACTTCAGGTTCTAACTCAGACATGATGATAGCTTAAAAGAAATTATTAAATACGAAAGCTAAAAAAATAAATTAAAAACAAAACACAAGCACATTTAACGTTTGGATGGCATTCACGATCTCATACGCTTTCCCGCAGCCAGCCGCCAAAGAAAGCGGTGAGGTTGAAAGTTCCAGTTCCTATCATCATTTCAAAGTTTTTCTCCGATTATACTGAGGCTGACAATGTAGCATATACATTTTTTTCCCTTTACACTTTCTGGTCCTGGGTCCTGTCAATGTTTTGATTAAAATGATTGGTTCCGTTTTCACAGTTATAAATACAATTTTACTAAAAAGCCATAAATTATCTTCTTTGTGAAGCTTGGCTTCCTGTTGGTGCCTTCCACTTCAACGTATGCGAAATGCTACTTACATAATTCAAATGCGTAGACGCCTTCCCTCCACTTTAAAAAGGACGTCAGTCTGGTAACAACGTCTTTTGCTAAATTAAATCGTTACAGGGTTACTTCTGAATACATCTGAGAATAAAGTTGCGAAGGATTCTCATTATAGTGAATAAAGAGATCAGTCAAAATATCGGTGTTTCCCCGACTCATCTTCTCTATCCTAATCAATGCTGGTGTCCCACAGGGGTCGGCACTTTCGCCGTACCGTTTTAATATTTATACACAAGATATCCCTAAAGACCCTTCTGTTCATCTTGCACTCTTTGCCGATGACACCGCCATACTTACTAAAGCCTGCACTGTTATAGCCGTAAGAAACCAACTCCAAAGCTATCTCATAAAACTGGAAAAATGGCTTATCCTTTGGAGGATTAAAATTAACACTGATAAAACTAAGACAATAATTTTCCGTAAAGGAAACATGAAATACTATCCTCTACCCCCTGAAATATTTGACGAAGAAATAGACTGGATTAATGAAACCAAATACATTGGAGTCACCCTTGACCAAAAACTTACCTTCAGAACCCATTTCCGGTCCGTAGTACAAAAATTTTAAATCACCACAGCTACTATGCGACCTCTTCTTGATAGAAAAAGCAACTTATCTACTACAAACAAATTAATTCTATATCGCTCCATACTGCGCCCAGCTCTTCTTTATGCAGCACCGATCTGGGGATATGCAGCTAAAACCAATATTAAACAATTACAAATTCTACAAAATAAAATTTTACCAGAAATTATCAATGCTCCTTGGTATATTCCCAACATCTATATTCACAGAGACCTTCGAATGGAACTTATTCAAGAGTATATTAAACGATTAGCGGTCAACTTCTTTTATTCAGTACAAACCCACAGTAATAGCCTTATTAGCACTCTCAGACACTCCCCGCGTCCCAGAGATAAACATCGCTACCCTTGTGACATCCTCCCCACATAAGATTCACAACCATAATTGACTCATTCACGCAAAACTGACTCTGCGGTCTTACCACCCGCGGCTATATCTTATCTGACACTGAACTTGACACCCCCCTTTTTCGCCGCCGCTAGTGCGGACCTCACTCTCTTTCATCCGCCTCCCACACTCCTTTCACCCTTCTCTTTCTCCCCCCACCCGATCTTTATCAGAAGTCGAGTAAAAGGATGTTTCTACATCTTGACACTCGAGAATAAAATACGATCTGTGTGTGTTCTCTATCATAATTCTTATGGACCTATCATGTTTATTGCAATGAACAATTAATTGTATCCTGGGGGTATGAATTACATAATATTTATAATACTATTGAGTCCGTCCTCCGATATCTGTACTGCAACAACTGCGGCTTCTTTCCACTAATCGCTACTTTCAGCTATCTGCTGATGCGTAAACCTTTGCTCCACTCTTTGTATATATCAAGGTAACTGAATTTGTGCCTTGTGTGAGATTGCGATCAGCGCTGTTAATCTATTCTTTATTGGTGGCTTTAGTAAGAGAATCAGATGGTGAAAAGCTTTCAACCGCTTCATAGGGCTTTGGGACAAGAGAATTTGAATTTCCAGAGCACATCGTTTAGCATTATTATTCATTGGCATACAAATAAGGATTTTGTCATTCTCTTTCAGATCTTTCAGAATCTTGTAGAAGGCCCAAGTCTTGGCAGAAAGAAAGAGTTCCTGATACTAATGCGTTGGTTGACGACAGTTGCAATCCCATTTTGGGACGCGTCTGTGGCAAAAACGTTGCACTTTCGTTTCGTATAGTCTTCAACTATATGGCTTAATCTTTACTACACCGCCTCATCTGCAGTGTTCTTGCTCTGAAATTCATACTCTATCATTTTTATATTGAAGTTCCCATACTCCGAGAAATCCCGATAATTGGTGAAAGAGACAGTATTTTCTCTTTCACGAATTATCGACAGTCAATATCAAGTTTAATGAGATCATTTTTGACGCACTGGCTAATGGACTCTCGTAACCTGCTCCGTTTATACCCGAATTCTGTGGACAGCTCTTCAAGGAGACCGCTGTAGGAGAAGTTTCTGACGGAACAATATTCTTAGGAATTAAGAATACTGAATTTGAATTATCAAGAAGTACCAAGAATTTTGTTGTTGCTATGTTCAGCTTTGTTTAGAACAAAAATTCCTACTTCTACGTACAGCAGTGCAAAGGCAATCTAATCGGACGCCCAATGGCTTGATTGTTTCTGATATTTTAAAATTCTTCTGTAAGGTGAGTAGAAGAAGATAACTGCCGTACTAAATCTTCCCGCTTATGGTAGCTATTTTGACAAGATCGATATTCTTTGCATCCCACTTTGCGCCTAAATTATATTAGAAAAGGCGAATGTGTATGCCATGGACGCAGTGCTCAAGTATTGCCTTACTTTTTTATATTCTTTGTATTATTTATATTTGAGATGTAAATTAATGTAAGTATCCGAACTATTTGCTTTGGATAGCTTCACCTATAAAATTTGTTATTGTTTGAAGCTGTGAAAAAAGGTTAAGAATTTTTATTAATTTTTTCTGCCATTCTGGAATGTTATTCAAGAAGTTTATATGAATTGTTCACAAACAAATTTACTAATTAAATACATTCCGCAAGAGAAGAGAAAGAATAACCTTGATTGTTTAGCTGTACACCTGCTGGAACGTACGATTTTTATGCAGGATGGCGCTCCACCCCATATTGCTAGACGCGTGAAAGATCTCTTGCGCGCGTCGTTTGGTGATGATCGTGTGCTCAGCCGCCACTTTCGTCATACTTGGCCTCCCAGGACCCCAGACCTCAGTCCGTGCGATTATTGGCTGATAAAGATCGGGTTACCTGAAGTCGCAAGTGTATCGTGATCGACCGGCATCTCTAGGGATGCTGAAAGACAACATCCGACGCCAATGCCTCACCATAACTCCGGACATGCTTTACAGTGCTGTTAACAATATCATTTCTCGACTACAGCTATTGTTGAGAAATGATGGTGAACAAATTGAGCATTTCCTGTAAAGAACATCATCTTTGCTTTGTCTTAATTTGTTATGCTAATTATTGCTTTTCTGATCAGATTATTGCTTTTCTAATTATTGCTTTTCTAATTAAATCCCATGTCATTCTATGTATGTGTGTCAATTTTTACCTCCCTATCTACATTATTCCGCGATTTATTAAGTTTTCAAATTTATACTGACTTTTTGATCACCCGGTACATATTCCTTGACGAGATGTAACGACAATGATCGAACATCACCGAGTAAATCTAACTTGTTACATCGCCTAATTTAGTTTACTCTGCCTGCATTTTATGTGTTTTTTTATTTATGTATTTTTTTGTTTCTTTATATTTACTATACTAATTAATAAATAATAGGTAATATATTTTTACAGCATATTTTATATAAGAAATGCAGATTTTTTCTAAAAAGCGGGACATTTTTAAAAATCGGCGGGTAAAGTGACCAGACGTCCCGATTTTGGCGGGACAGTCCTCCAAAAAACGGGACTGTCCCGCCAAAATTGGGACGTATGGTCACTTTACATTAGCTATACAAATGTCAGGTGATCTCTGATGGCTTGAGAATGTATGTCACTCAGTATCTGAAAACCCTGAAAAATATTAAAATGTTTAATTTAATTATTCTTTGTTTTCAAGGATGATTTCAAGGATGGAAATGATTTATGAAGCGAAATTTAAAATGCAATCTTGTGTTTTACAATTTTTATTTTCAGAAACAGGTAAGATGTAATTTTTATGCATTTAAAATTGCGAATTTTAAGATTCCAATACAGGATGTTATAAGCCTTATTATTATGATCTCTTTTTTACGATTTGAATTCTGTGAACTGTTTTGATGATAGTTTTAAGATATTATGAGATGAATGAATTTTAAGGCATGAATTGCCTACATTAGTCATTATTACGTTAATTATTATTTAATGTTACTCTAGTCATTATCTGTAAGGTACAACTATATTTATGCTTGTCCCTTGGCTATAATTGGCAATTTTTGGGGGTACATCGACACCGAGTATGTGCAATTCTTTGCCTTGTTATTTTAGCTTCGTGTAGTGGCGATTTTTGCGTCAACAATCGCCGCTACACAAATCCAAAATAATAGGTCGTATCGTAAGAGCTCTTTGCGATACCAGGAATTCAACATTCTTATATTAGACCCAAAACAGTTAATCTATTGAATTATCAGTGTTTAAGAGAGACAACTAAAGTTCACAGTTTATTTGATCTTGAAGCTTCTCAACTGAAGCATTTGTATTATAGAGAGTATTTAGATGAATATCTTAGAAAAGTAGTTTAGATGAGAATTAGAGTTGTAATTTTGAAGAACTGGAACAAGAAAATATAAGTAGTAACGTAATGAAGGCGTCCCGAGGACCATGAAAGGCAAATCTTTATAAGAGGAATATAGATGTGATTGATACTATCAGCAATCCCTCACATGAAGTTGATTCTGTGAGATTCATTTACTTATCAGAGCGGGTGTGGTTAGTAAACTCTTACATAGAAAAGTACAAATTTTACTAGTCAGACCGGTTGGAACTGGTACTTATTTAGATTGGACGCTTATATACAAGATTTCACAGGTATCTAAAATTTCTAAACTAATTTGTATTTGTATCCAAATCTTATTTGTGTTTTGAGCTATCTTTGGAGATCAAAAGTCAAAATTATGATTATCATAATTTTGCCTTTGAATCTGCAAAAA